AAAAAGTAAATTATAGTAAATGATACATAAAATGAAAATAGAGCTACAATTGGAAAGAAAATATAACCTCATTAAATGGATTACAAAAGGTTTTGGAATTTATTTTATATTATATTTAATAAAAAAAATTTTCACAGATCCTTTTTTGATATTCTTAATCAACAAATAAAATTGTATTTCATAACCTTATAAGATATATTATAATGATGCATACATATATATATATAATATTAGAGAATCCTTATTTATTATTTTTATTTGATTTATGAAAAATTTTATTAAATTTCATGGAATAATTATTAGCATATGAGATATATTATTTTCTTCCTTCGTATTAGAATATATGGATCAGGTGATAGAGATTATATTTATGGTTTTATTTTCATATATTATATATGTTTACATATAATTTATAGGTATTTCTTGTAATTTAGGCGTATTATATTAACATGTAGTATATGTACGAGTGAAAAATTGACTATCAAATAACATTTACTATCATGAAAATTACAATGTGGCCGTTATTAAATATATTATTATTCCTATTTACTTATTTAGATATTTTCATCTATATTATGTATACATATACTCTGTAATATATACATGTCATTGTAGTATATGTCCAATGAGTGTTGAAATATATATATATATATATGCATTATAGAATACATTTATTATAATTTTATTATAAAATATTATTTTCTTATGTCTATTATTTTATAATTCTTAATAATAATATACACATTAAACTTAAAGAACAATTCTTATTCCATAACCTATGAATTTGAAATATTTATGCATTATAAAGTTTTTAATATAATTGTATGTCCTTCAAAAAACGGTATCTCATAGATTTTGATATATTAGTTTTATGAACGCATCAGTTAATGCAATGTTCTTCGAGAGATACTAAAAAAGTTAAAACTAGTAAAATAAAATGGTAATTATATAATATGTAAATACACAAACAATAAAGTATAATGACATGAATATGCATAAGTCAACTTTTTGTTTTAATATATAGAATAATGCTTTCATTGTGCTATGCTTTTATCTCATTGAAATTGTAGGATTTATTTGTATTAGCTAAACAATATCAATAAGTAATAAATGTAATATAAATTTTATCCAATTTAACATATAAACGTATTTATTCAAATGTATTATAATTAATATATTTTGTTAAAATAATGCTTATATTTAGCATATACGAAGACATATGCATTATTATATATATTATAAAATATAAATGTATTGTTCTACAAAATATCATATTAATTAAAATAATTTAATATTATCATAAAAATAAATACAGCATATTATTAACATATGATATGGATTTACTCAAAAAAATATTTCAAGTACATTTTATTAAATATAGATTATAGTTTATATTATTATGAATTTATTTTGATAGCATTTTTTTTTTATATATATACCTATATTTTGTAAAAAATTATAACATATTTTTCTATCGTTAATTATAGCATTAATTCAATATGAAGCATTATAAATATAAGAAAATGTTTACTTATGTATGAAAATTATATATATTAACATAATACACCAGCACTAATATTCTTAATTATTGTAAGCATGATTAATCACACATTAAAGAAATTAAAAATATTAAAAAATACATGCTCTATAATCTAAATATAGGTATCTTTTACTTTTAATTTAATATAGTTTAATAATAATATTTGGATTCCTTCCTTATTTGAAAGTAAATTTATGTTATATCTGTTATTTTTATATTAATTATTTAACTAATTTTACGAAATAAAAAAAAATTTTGTTACATATTATTGTTTTTTCATATTATTCAAAAAATAATGTAAGAATAAAATAAGTATGCTCATATTGATAATATATATAAAAAAATATATATAACTTTATAATTTGGATCATTGTTTAGATTTATATTCATTACAATGGATTGTGCACGCTTGCGTCTCTTTATACTATATATATAATTACATATGCATAAAGAACATGTTAAAAGGAAACACTAGAATGAAATATTTAAATTTCATTCTAGTATTTAAATTAAATAATTTATATCCCATTTTCATCTAGTTCCATATAAAAATATTACAATTATTTTAATTATTGTTGTCTTACTTATTAAAAGGAATGAATATGCAAAACAAAATATACGCAAGATTTAGTCATTTAAGTATAATTATAAATATTAATAAATTTATTTAAAAAGAAAGAAACTAAAAATTTTTGAAGCAAAATATCATGCCGCAAAGAAAAAAAATATACATTGCTTTAATTATCATATCATGAAAAGTATATATTAGTACTATAACTTTTATATATATTTATAATACTGTAGGAAAAATTATGTTCTTTGTATAATCTAAAAAAAGGGTACTAAAATTAATATATACTATAATTATTTATTGGATTGTCGATATCTGTTGTAATTCATTATACGTATGAATATAAAATTATTATTAAATAAGTTTATGTCACATTTTATTATAAAAAAAATTATTAAAAGTTCCTATGTGATAATATGATATATTTAAATTTTTATTATCAAAAGAACAATCCTTTTTTCAATATATTAATAAAACTTATTCTATTTTGTTGTATAACATTTACATACTAGGTTGTTAAATATTATAATTATTGAATTTGAATATTGAAAATAATATTTATGTTAATGACACATTTTGCCATTCCCTCTTAAGATTATATAGTTTCATATTTTTTTCTTATGCCTTTTTTTAATGAGTTAAGATTTATGGGTATAAAAAGGTAGTGGAATATATACTTCCCCTTTGAAAGCATGCGAAAATGCATAAAGGATTATCGCCTTTTACGACAAAAACTGATAACATCATGATGCAAAGAAAAATATAGCATTATATGTAAAAACGTGTAATACATATATATATATTGCTTCTAACGAATGCTATGTTGAAGTAACAATTTTGTTTCTTGACAAGTACTAAAATTTTACCCTGTAATATATAAATAAATATAAATAGCAATACAAAAATCAATAAAACATATACAGATATAATGTAAATAAATATAAGAGACAAACAATTATACTGTATACACTGTACTCTGAACCCTAAAATAATATACATAAAACCTGAAACCTGAAAATTTCTTGTAAACATCGCAAAATAAGAGCATAAGCGTTAACGATTCAAGGAAAAAGAAAACAATAAACAAATAAAAAAAAATAAGACTTAATGATAAAAACTAAATAGTTATCAATATTTTTTTCTATATACAATATTTACATCTCAGGATCAGTATCCTATAATGGGATATATAGAATCGTATTTTTATCAAAATAGTAAAATAATGTAAATAATTAAAATAAATATAATATACGTATTTACCATAATATACGGCATGAAAGAG